ACCGCTATAGAATGTAAATACGCAGAAAGAAAATGATCGGTTTAATCTTAAAATGTAAGTACAACTTTCACACAACTAATATTATACAATTGTTAAATAATCGAAAAATGCATATTCGAAAATTTAAGAGGCGTGGTTACATCCTTCTATGTACAATGGTAACAGAGAACAAATAAATAAATAAATAAACTGAAAGTTCTTCGTTCACCAGACCACATTCTATTACAAAATATCGGAAATAAAACCGTAGGAGTTTTTTTAGAGATAAATGGATATTCCCCCCGAATATCGGGATAGCTAATTTACTAATAGTAAAATCGTTGGTGGGACTATGTGATAAATACGTGCCTGAATACTATCTGCTCTTCCAATGTACATTTACAACCATTTCATAAATCAATGACAACAGTATCCGATTAGCTATCTTTGGACTCTTCGTTTTACACGCAAATGGAGGTTGGTTAATTATGGCTAAGTATGAAAAATAGTTTCTCTGATTTGACACGATAGTCCTCACCTTGAACAATTAGTCACTACGTGACAATATCTTACTTTTGTAATCATTTCCTTTTTAAAAATAATTTTTATTATTATTCTGCCGCACCTTATTCCTGAAACTTGATAAGCATGTTCGTAAATCATTTTCCTGGGAACATACTGCAAGTTTTAATTTACTTGCTTTTCATTATCTCGAAGTAAAGTAGCTGTTGGATTTGTAAATCATAATGGTTCAAACAAGTCATTATAGTCTCGAATTTTCATCAAATACAAAATGTCAAAGTATAAATTTACGAATACAAATAACACCATTGGAAATAAATTAATAAATTAACTAATAAATACTTAAACAACTTAAAATATTTCATACGGATCATTTCGCCCTTTGGCGTTAACCACATAATGAACATTTATCATTAAAGCGTTAGTGAAGCAAAGCTAATACCATTAGTCGATATATCAAACAATAGTTTAAAGCCTCCTTTGTTAGGAGTAAGTACATGTAATTTTCAATTTCATTACAGAAAATACAATTGAATGGTATATAATTCAATGTAAATGTGCCTAAAGTTTCGTATTTTCAGTCCACCTCAGACCAATGCAAGTAAAGAATAAATATTTTATCCAAAATGCGAGGGATATCTGAATTGCGAAAATCCTACCTCGAATTGAAGTTACAGTACGCGAAGTATGAATTAATAGAACCCAAAAAAGTATTTTAAAGTGTTAAATCTTTAATGTTACGCGTATAAAATTCAACAATGAATCTCTGGAGGTATCGCAGTGAGCCTTTTCAGCACATTTTAATAAATCTGCATTTAAAATGTGACATTATTACAATGTCGCCAAGCGTGTCAAATATTCCCTTGTACGATTCGTGAGTACTGAGCTAATTTATTCAGATATTCTGTCATGCAACTTCATTATTCATTTAAGGACACATATATAGAACATCCTTAAAACACACAACTTCCTAAACACTGCCGAGATTGTATTTAATTAAGTAAGAAGGTATTCCTTTGAGAAAACAATATTACTCCTAAAGCTTTGACTTTATCGTTGACAATAAGTTTTCAAAATAAGCGTTACACGTATCCCATTTGCTTGTAAGACCTAATGTGTAAACTGTATCTACATTAAGTAGTGAATAAAATTTGTTTTAACGTGTAAATAGCGACTCTGAAAACTTGGGAAACTCTAAAATACATCACTCAGAGTTAATTACGAAACAACTTCTTGTTTAGTTCTTAAAGAACTGCATAATGAAACTCCGTTTAATTTTCAAGACCAAACAATTAACTGTGCAATAAAACTTTGTTGCAGGTGCTAATAACAGTGGCGGTTTTAAGAACTTTCGAGACTTCTTACAAGAGTTACCCACCCCTGGTACGGGACCTTACTTTGATACGACAGTGAACTCAAATATAACCGGCCTCGTTGGAAGAACGGTGCATCTACATTGCAGAGTGAAAAACCTTGGAAATAGAACGGTGAGTTTACTGAATATTCATTACACTTCGTCTGCTGCGGAAATTTCTAATTCCGTATTGCAAACGCAAATGGTCGGATATAAAAGGAATTCGTATAATTTTTTTTTTGCGAAGGCAAAGGGATTAATAACGTATAACCGAAAGAGCCAGCAAACGCTTTCCGGCCATAGAAAACTATTGTAGAATTTCGTTGTAACACGTTTCTTTACGCCTATACTTTGAACGAACGTAATTGAAAAACCTTACATTCACCATCCCTAAGGATACATTTTTAATAGGATCTTTTTTTGGTTAATATATTTCTGTAAAAAATGTGTCCGTTTATTTAACCTTTAGTTTTTAATATCAAATTTTCGTTTTTTCTCCAGCGTATAATTTTTATAAATGTATCATGATACCTATAAGTATAGAGATACATCCGAACTGTGTCTACGTTAAATGGGGAAAGTTGGAATTTGTTTATTACAAAACTCCGAACGTGTGTGATGAATGGAAAAAGTGGGGCCGAGTACTTTTCGCGAGTCCAGTAGTGTCATTTTACTGACGAGTTTTATCTTATATTTTACACGAAATCGTCTTTTAATATAAAATTTCAATTTTCATATAGAACTTTTGATTAATGTCACTCTTTTAGTGATGACAGGTGTCATAGACATTTAGCAATGTGACAGGTGCGGCAGGAAAAGTAGTCTGGTCTTCCTCTGTCATGGAATAGTTATTTACATAAAAGTCAGGAAAATGAGACATTACTGGGGAGAAAATATTGAAGTACAACGCCCCGGTGGGGCCGAGTACTTTAATTTCCGAGTCAAGTAATGTCATTTTACTGCATGGCGAGTTTTGTATTAAATTTTACCCGAAGAAATCGTATTTTAATATAAAATTTCAATTTCCATACTTACAGAACTTTTGATTATGCCAATCTGTCAATGATGATGGGAGTCATTATGGACATTTAGCAATGTGATACGTGCAGCATGAAAAGTGACAGGTGCGGTCGGTAAAGTGACAGGTGCGGCCGGTAAAGTGACAGGTGGCAGGGAAAGTAGACTGGGTCTGTCTCTGTTATGGAAACTAACATTTTCCTGACATAAAGTAGGCATGAAAATGAGTGTTTCATGACGATTTTGGGTAAAATGGAAGAATAGTGGATGGATGTAATACAGTATATTCGTAGCCCTACAAGTCGAAAAATGCAATTATAGAGCGTTTGATAATTAAAGCAAGCCACTTTGCACAATTGTCCCCCTCCTGGTAGGGGAGGCTGAGCCAACCCTAAAGGTGTATTTTTTTACGTTGCTTTAATCAAACAGGTGCAGCAGGCTTTGTTGTAAATAGGGTTGAAAATTACTTTTGCTTTTTTTTAAATAAA